TTTGTAAGTAACCTCTACACCCAATATGGGGCTCAAACTCACAACCCCAAGATCAAGAGTCCCATGCTCCACAGATTGAGCCCAGCTATGTGCCCCATGACTATATTTGTTTTTTTTTTTTTTTTCAACGTTTATTTATTTTTGGGACAGAGAGAGACAGAGCATGAACAGGGGAGGGGCAGAGAAAGAGGGAGACACAGAATTGGAAACAGGCTCCAGGCTCTGAGCCATCAGCCCAGAGTCTGACACAGGGCTCGAACTCACGGACCGCGAGATCGTGACCTGGCTGAAGTTGGATGCTTAACCGACTGCGCCACCCAGGCGCCCCCCATGAGTATATTTGAACTGTATGCTTATAAATGGTTAAAATGAAATTTAGTATATATATTTTACCACACAAACACAAAAAAAGAACCTACTGGTTATTCAAGCATTTTCACTTTTATTCCTGCAGTTCCCCGATGAAGAACTCAATATCCATTTAAAAAAAAAAATTTTTTTTTACTATTTATTTTTGAGAGAGAGAGAGAGAATGAGCAGGGGAGGAGCGGAGAAAGAGGGAGACACAGAATCCGAAGCAGACTCCAGGCTCTGAGCTGTCAGCAGAGCCTGACATGGGACTCGAGCTCACAAACTGTGAGATCATGACCTGAGCTGAAGTCGGACACTCAACTGACTGAGCCATCCAGGCACCCCTGAATATCCATTCTTAACAACATGGCTCTGAAAGACGCAGAGAAGCTAAGACCTACTGCTAAATCCTAAAACAATTTAGAAAAGCATTAAAATGCTACTTTAAACAGCTTGTGATACATTTTAATACAAACATATTAAATTGGAAACAATAACTATGAACGGAGATAATAAAGATAGGGTAATCTTTCAAAAAAGAAAAAAGAAAAAAAAAAGTACTGGATTGGAACTCAGATTCCAACCTTACCCAGATTCTAATCTTACTTCATGAAGAATATTTAAAGCATTAACTTTTTCATGATTATTTCCCCAATAAAATAGAGAAAGCTTAACCATGTTTCATAAATTTGTTGAAAGAAAAAAAAAAGCAGGGTATTTGAGACTATAGGGGGAAAAAAGCAATTTTGTAAAAACATGATTTTATACAATATGGTTACAACTAAATGGAATAACATTACTGATTACATAAAAGAAACATGATTGCCAATTAAGCTACAGGAAAAGAAAGATTGTCAGCCAATAGAAATAACATAGTAACGCCTCTTCAACGTGACACTCTGACATCACAATCAAGGTGTATACCAAAAACACAACCTAAAGTGAAAATAACTAAAAATTTCCACTTAAACTGATTTACTTTGCACTTGCAAAAGAATGACTTAGGACTTCCAGGGGCTCCTGGGTGACTCAGTTGGTTAAGTGTCCAACTTCAGGTAAGGTGGTGGGTGATCTCACAGCTCGTGAGTTCAAGTCTAGCATCCGGCTTAGTGCTGACAGCTCGGAGCCTGGAGCCTGCTTTGGATTCTGTGTCTCCCTTTCTCTCTGCCCCTCCCCTGGTTGTACTCTGTCTCTCTCTCTCATTTTCAAAAATAAACATTAAAAAAAAATTTTTTTTAAAGAATGACTTAGCAAAAACAAAAAAGCAAGAAATATAGCCATATCAAATCTTCTGGATTACCTATTTCAGTAGGAATCACCACAGATGATGCTATTCTTTTTTAACCATGTTATCAAGCTAGATTAAAAAATAAACATATAAATCTTCATTTCTATAAAAAGGAAAACTATCAAGTCTTTATGAAACCAGAAAATACTGAAGGTAGAGTCTTTTCTTAGATATTGAAACATGTCTTTCATTAATGGTTATTGTACAGGCCATCTTCTTGTTGCTACAGACTACTCACCAACTACCTGGACAAAACTAGTCCATTTCAAAACAGGAACATGCACTAGAAAGGCCTTGGGTTTCCTCACTCAGAGCCATCTTGAAATTTACAAATACACAGAAAATTGTGCACAGTGAAGCCTAAGGGAATCATAAACACAAGATACTTACATATTATATCCTGTCCAAATTTAATTCAAACAAAATTTCCTGTAAGTACACAATATTAACTGGATACATTTCACTCTCGAACTGCTCGATACCATTGTTAAAAGTTCAACTACTTTGTTCCTTTCTAAATTTGCTCCTTTCTGATCTAGTAAGGCAAGCTTATGGTTATATATTATATGCTAAATGAAACAGCTGATAAAAGACTTTGAGTACGATTCCAACTATACAGAATTCTGTAAAAGGCAAAACTATGGGGGCAGTGAAAATAGCAATTGCCATCAGGTTGCCACAGGTTAGGGGGTAAGGGACATGGAGAGATGAATAAACAGAGCACGGAGGATAAAGGGCAGTAAAAATATTCTGTGTGAGGGGCACCTGGCTGGCCCAGTGGGTAGAGCATGCAACCCTTGAACTTGGGGTTGTGAGTTCAAGCCCTATGTTGGATGTGGAGATTACGGTGGAAAAAAAATATTAAAAAAAAAAGAGGAAGAAAATATTCTGTGTGACACTGTAATAATGGATACATGTCATACATTTGTCCAAACCTATAGAATGTACACACCAAGAGTGAATTCTAACATGAACTATACCAGCTTCAGGTTATTTCAGTTGGAGAGTCTAACATTGTATAAATAAAGCCACAGTCATGGATTTGACCCTTAACCAGACCAACTGCTTTGACTCTATACTCATGTCCTTCCCTCCTTCATTTGGAAATACGCCATTAATGAAAAGGAATACCATTGGAAAAACAACTCTATTTTTGAAAGGCAGTGTTGTTAGCATTAGAACCCTCAGGACTTTTAATATGTGCTAAATAATGTTTAAGACACTACATGAAATCTATGTAAAAATACTTCAATATGGTGAAAGTAGCAGTACAGAAGTAGGATTTAAATGAGCCAAAGGGCATCTGGGTGGTTCAGCCGGTTAAGCGCCGGGCTCCTGATTTCAGCTCAGGTCATGATCTCATGGTTCGTAAGTTCAAGCCCTGTATTGGGCTCTGCACTGACAGCGTTGGAGCCTGCTTGGGATTCTCTCTCTCTCTCTCTCTCTCTCTCTCTCTCTCTCTCTCTGCCGCTCCCCTACTTGTGTGTGTGTGCTCTCTCTCTCAAAATAAATATGAAAAAAAATTTTTAAAAATAAAATAAATTATGAGCCATAATTTTATACATTTGTGGTAGGAATTGCCTTTAGGAAGGTCACACCAATTTGGCATTAACTTCTCAGAATTTTAAAAACATACTCTTTAGGGGTCGCCCAGATGGTTCAATGGGTTAAGTGTCCGACTTCAGCTCAGGTCATGATCTCATGGTTCATGGGTTTGAGCCCCACATTAGGCTCTGTGCTGACAGTTCAGAACCTGGAGCCTGCTTCAGATTCTGTGTCTCTCTCTCTCTCTGCCCCTCCCCCATGCATCTCTCTCTCTCTCTCTCTCTCTCTCTCTCTCAAAAATAAATAAACATTTAAAAAAGTTTTTAATAAAACAAAAACATACTCTTCTAGGAATTCAGCCTAAGGAAATAGTGAGAAGTTCAATTTTAGCACTTGTACACAAAAACAATCAGTAGACTATTAATACAAAAATTTGGGAAATTGTTGATGTCTAAAATAGGATAATAGTTAAATAAGTTATGTTGAATTAGACTCATTAACCAATTACATTTTCATATTATAAAGGTTCAGTAATAAAACAGCATGATACTGACATATCAATATAGATAGACCAATAGAACAGAGTAGAAAATCTTGAAAGAAACCAAAATACAAATGGCAATCTACTGAAGGATAGAGAAATCATCTTAAATCAGTGGAGAAAAGATGGATTATTGAACAAATGGTATTAGGACAACTGGAAAACCATCTTTCTAAAAATGAAATTGTATCTATATCTCATACCCTATGGCAGAATGAATTCCAAATGGATCAAAGATTTAAATTTAAAAAATGAAAGCAAAGAAGTACTGGACAAATCGTGGAAGAATTATTTTATAACCTCAGCCTAGGAAAGGCCATACTAACTGTAACATAAAATCAAAAAGCCATAAAAGAAAAGACTGATACATTCAAATGCATAAAAATTATTTTCTCATGGGGGGGAAGACAAATGAAAATATTGGCAACTCATCACAGATAAAAACCTCCTTATTTAATATAAGAGTTCCTACAAATCACTAGGAAAAAGACCCAATAACCAGTAAAAATGGGCAAAAGATATGTACAATGCACAGAAAAGGATATTTTTAAATGCCTCTGTGAGATAATCAATGTAAGAGATAGAAAAAATTCAACTATTTTTATCATTTAGATTGTCAGAATCAAAAAATCTTGATAATTCCCTATGTGTAGAGAGATGGGCACTCTCATACACTGCTGGTGAAATATAAATAGTTACAACCTGTAAGAAGAGCAATTTGGGATTATCTTTCAAAATTACAAGTATACATATCTTTGATAATGATTCTGTGAATTTTTTTTACAAAAATATTCATACACAAGCAAAATGATTTGTATTCAAGATTATTCCCTGCACTATCACTTGTACCAGCAAATCTGGGGACTGGTTAAATAAATTGTGATTCATTCAGGCATTACACAGCCACAAAAAGAATGAGGAGCTGCTTTATACACTGACAGGAAACTATATCAAAAATATATCGGTAAGTGTGTATAGAGAGGGAATGTGAGGCAGGAATAACACAAGGTGCAGATAAATTCCTATAACGGGTTATCATTTGTGTCAAAAAGGAGAAGAAAGCATACGCACGGTAAAAACTATGATGATATCAATTCAAATACAAAGCAATTAACAGCTGGCTCCAGACCCCAGAACTCCCAGCCAACTTCCTTTGTCCAGTCCATTCATTAACCTCGGAAAAAAACATGACCTTGCGTTTTTGTCAACGAAATTTTTTTGGACCCCAATCTTGGCAGAGTTTCTACATACCTATTTATCTGTTTCTCTGTGCAGGGAATAGGTATGGAAGGATATACAAGAATTTCAAACGTTTATTGATTGTGCGAACAATGATTGCCTGCCAGACGGTAAGTGAAGGGTGGGGAGGAGGGGTTAGAGAGACCTCACAGAATATCCTTTTATATCTTCCAAATATTGAAAGAAGGAAATGTTATACCTTTTTATTTTTCCTAATGTTTATTTTTGAGAGCAAGTGGGACAGGGGCAGAGAGAGAGGGAGACAGAGGATCTGAAGTGGGCTCTGCGCTGACAGCACAGAGCCTGATGTGGGGCTCAAACTCACAAACCGTGAGATCATGACCTGAGCTGATGTTAGACGCTTAACCGAATGAGCCACCCAGGTGCCTGTTATACTTATTTTTTTAATAAAATTTAAAAACAGGGGAGCCTGGGTGGCTCAGTTGGTTAAGCGGCCAACTTTGGCTCAGGTCATGATCTCATGGTTCGTGGGTTCGAGCCCCACATCTGGCTCTGTGCTGACAACTTGGAGCCTGGAGCCTGCTTCGGATTCTGTGTCTCCCTCTTTCTCTCCCCCTCCCCTGCTTGTGCTAAGGTAAATAAACATTAAAAAAATTAAATAAAATTTAAAAACAAAAATATGTTTGAAAAAACTTTAAACATTTTCAAAAACCTAAGATATTACAGTTAGAAAAGAGGCAAGATTTACAATATACACGACATGAGGGGCGCCTGGGTGGCTCAATCGGTTAAGCATGGGACTCCTGATTTTGACTCAGGTAGTGGGTTCGAAGTCCACATGGTGCTTTGCACTGACAGTGCAGAGCCTGCTTGGGATTCTCTCTCTCCCTTTCTCTCTGCCCCTCCCCTGCTTGTTCTCTCTCTCCCAAAATAAATAAATAAACTCTAAAAAATATATATGTGGGGCTCCTGGGTGGCTCAGTTAAGCATCCTACTTTGGCTCAGGTCATGATCTCGTGGTTTATGGGTTCAAGGCCCGTGTTGAGTTCTGTGCTAACAGCTCAGAGCCTGGAGCCTTCTGTGTCTCCCTCTCTGCTCTTCCCCCATTCATTCTCTCTCTCTCTCTCTCAAAACAAAACAAATATTTAAAAATAAATATTAAAAAAAATATATGCAATATGATACCAAACATATTTTAAAAAGTACATTTTTACACAGAAAAGACTGGGATAAAATACAACAGAATATTAAAAGAACAGTTATCTCTAAAAGGTATAACTACAGGTAACTTTAATTTTCTTTGCATTTTCCTACAACTCAAATTCTTTACATTAAGCACTATTATATTCATAATAAGAAAAAAGGTATTAAAATTTTAATGATATGAATCAGAGAGGTCAGAAATTAAAAGGTAGAAAGTTATTAGGTATTACCCAGGGTTGTAAGTATCATAAATGAAACATTCAAATTTCCTTAAAACATTACTTGCAACTGCAAAATAAACTTTATGGATGGGGCACCTGGCTGGCTTAGTCAGTAGAGTATCCAACTCTTGATCTTAGGATTGTGAGTTCAAGCCCCACATTGGGTATGTATGGAGCCTAATTAAAAAAAAAAAAAAAAAAAGTTTAAAGAATTTATGGACAAAAAATTTAGAGATGAAACATATCTAAACATTCCTCTGCTCTACCTCTAACAATCACTATGAGATTATTCTCATCCTCCTACTTTCTGAATGTTTTGTCCATTTTTGTTTTCTGTTACCTAGGTAATGGTACTTCCAGCATTTCCCTTAAAGACTGTGAAACTAACAATCTGGTATTTCTCACTGTCGAGTTTTCCTGACCTTCAGCTTTGAAAGGCCATCTCCCTAAGGGAAAGCAGTAAGATCTAGGAGCTAAAACAAGAGGCTGAGGAATCTGAGGTTAGAGTTCTAATCCTGACAAACTGTGGAATTTGTCTCCAATTTTGGGAATAAGCTAAACTTCCTGAGCCAGTTTCCTTAATGAGGTAACCTAAAGGATTGTTTTGAAAAATATTTAGGACTATCAACTTTCAAGTTTCTTTTTAACTTCCCACACTATTCTTTTGAATTTTGTTCTCTTGCCTTATGTTAAACATTCTCCTTTGTAAATGTTTGCTCTCCCAAACAGTATCTGCAAGTATTACCAATTTTTTAGACTCAGGAGTCAGTTAAGAGGGACTGTTAGAAATCCTACTGAAAATGACACGATGGGAACGCGAGCAACGTTGAAGACAAATTATGGAAGAATAAGAATGCAATCAGGATCTAAACTGGATTCTTAGGAGCAAAGGAGACTTGGGCAACTAATTGTCACCAACACTTGGTCAGGGAAGGCAAAACTCAGACTCCTAACATGGGAACCCTGCTGTAGAGATAAGGAAGATGCTAAGCTGTGCAGCACGACCTAGCAAAGGAAGTTCTGTCATGCCTTCAAGGATTCAGTTTTTATTTTTGTTTACAGTAGACTCACTAACACTACCCACTGCACATCTTTTCCTCTGCCACCTTCATAGTGAATATTTCTTGATGGCTACCTTATCATTAGAAAATAAGCTACATTAGATTTGTAAAGCGTTCTCTACCTATAGGTCTTGCGAAGCACTTGATAGCCTTTGGGAAGAAAGGTGTCTTTACAAACATCAGAGAGCAATTATCCCTCTGCCAACACAAGGTGAAGCAATTTCAGTAGTGCCCTCAGCACACTTCCAACTCCTCCTCCTGGTTTACAAGACCAAACACCTCTCTAGTTACTTAAAAGTTATTCCAATAGGGAGGGACAGGGAACAGACAACTAAATTTTTTCTGGATTAACTCAGGCATTAGTTGAATGTTTTTTTGTGGTTCACCTACTTTAAAAGGTGATCAAATCACTCTGTGCTACTGAAGAGAGCAACTGCAAAGAACAATTACATAAATCCTCGGGTTCAACTTACCTCATCCTTCTTTCTAATGAAAGAAAGCATTAGAAACCACTGCCTTGCCACCACTTCCTTAGGAATCTCAGTAAAACTTGCTCTGTCATGTGAATTCCTTTTTTTTCTTAGCAAATCAATTTATTTCATTCAACATGAGACACAATTGTACATCATTTTTTAAAGTGTATGTGCTGAATTTTATGATGTAGAAAAGATAAAGGCAATCCTTATAACGATTCTCAAAAAAAAATAATAAGTGAACTATTCCCAAACAGGTGCATTCTAGAACTTTGTATTATTTGTCAGAAAACATACACATATCCTCAACTCCATACCCATAATTCCTAAATCCAAAAAGCTCTGAAAACGCTTTCTCCATAATTTCTTCAGCAGTAAAATGTGACCTTCACCCTACATAACACTATTTATAGTCTTATACCATACTTAGTGTGGATTTTTACTTACTTAACTACAGAGGTATTAACATGACTGATTCCTGGATACTGCTACAGACTCAATTAAGGGGTTTATGTCATTATATGTACACCATATTTTCTAAAATCAAAAAAATTTTTGTGAATTTTGAAACACTGTAGTCCAAATGGTTATGGAAAAGAGATTATAAATGTATATAGTTCTATTCTTCAAAAATACTGCCATTCTTTGAAAATGAAATAGCAATAAACCAACATGACAGAGAGTAGAAAAGTACTAAGCTACAATAAAGGAAATTGTCCATGTCTGTAAATATTAACAGAATATACATTTTATTTTTTTTCATTTTTTTAATGTTTATTTCTGAGAAAGAGTGATGGAATGCAAGCAGGGGAGGGGCAGAGAGAGAGGGAGACACAGAATCCAAAGCAGGCTCCAGGCTCTGAGCTGTCAGCACAGAGCCCAACACAGGGCTCAAACTCACAAACTGTGAGATCATGACTTGAGCCAAAGTTGGACGCTCAACCAACTGAGCCACCCAGGTGCCCCAGACAGAATATACAATTTAAGTGAGATTTACAAGTTTTCTCTCAAAGGAAAAAAGGGAGAAGCATAAACAGTATATGCCTAAGCATTCTTGATCATTCTCTCTTACTTCAATGAACAATTTTCTACTCCTAATGTACATAAAATTTATTTGGAAATCATGGTAAATTAATGTGTCAACATTCAAAGCTAATACCACATCCTAAGTATTGAACTCAAACTTAAAATCCCAAGAATTGGTAAAATATTTATAATTACAAAAGTTCAATTTACAGTATTTGAGGAAATTAGAACACTTAAGTGACATGAACATGTTTGGGGATGTATTGGGTACACATTCACTGATTTTATTCAAACAATCAATTAGCTAGAGCACACAAAACTTGGTTGAACAAATTCATTCATCCACACATTAATACAACACAGAAGTCATGCAGGGGGTACATAGTTAAGACATGTAAGAATAAGTGATTCACTGAGAATATTCAAAGTTAATTATGTTGAGAACATTCTGTATAAAACCAGTGAGTTGGTCACATCTAATTCATACTGGACCAAAATGAAACAACTTCCTGGACTTGTTAACGGGTTGCAATGTTTTAAGCAAAGACAGACATATTCTCTAAAAATGCAATGAAACATATCTCATCCTTTGTCTTAATTCATGAAACATAAGCAAAATTATTTACTATAAACAGGGAAAACTTCTGCCTCCCCCCTTAACTCCTGTCTAGTCCATGAGAAATTCCTGCCAAATTCTCAGTCACATTTCTAGAATTATACGGGATAGGATGCAGTATGATTAAGTCTCCCTTCTTCTGCTTGCTGAAATAGTACAAGCCTTTAGAAAATCTCCAGCAGATCCCTATCAGTCATCAATAAATAATGAGCTACATGCTAGCTTAATGGTAAGCAATGATATTGATATTATTCATTCTATTAAGTGAATACGTTAGAGAGTCCTGCTTATACTATTAAAATCAAAACTATGGTTTCTTGGTGAGCACTTTAGTGTGGTAACTGTATTTTCCCTCTAGTTATCGGAGAGCACATCTGTACATACACTTGCAGACCTGTTGTGCTGACGGGGGTAAAGCTCCAATGCATGTACTACTGGAGACTGGTATCTTCAGTTGCTCCCAGTGACCTGCACTCGCCATCCATTCATGGTAAAGCAGTTAATTTTAATGTTCTCATTGTTTACCAGAAAGCACAGACAGGGAGGCTGGCTTTGCCGCTCCCGTTTCCTTTTGCTAGGCTGCTGTGCTTTTACAGCCAATTGACTTTGCTTTGAGGCTATAAATATCTGAAAAATGTTCTGCATTTGATGCTCTTGGATTCTGCATCCATATTTAGCTGTTTGTGGCATGCCTTTGTTTAAGCTACTCTGCCACCCATAACGGTCAGTCAGTCAGGTTGGGATATGGATGGTCATAGGACAGATGGATCGTCATTCAACAGACACTGACTATGAGCAAGGTACCAATCTGCTAGACACAGTGACAATGAAGGGGCTGGCAAGATAGGAATACAAAGACAAACTAGACAGACTTCCTGGTGTCAAACATTTTATAGTCTTGACAGGGCATGGGCACAATTTATTATAATACTATAATAAACAAATGAAACATTTTATAACTAAAAGGAAATGAAGGATAGGGCAGCATAAATATGTTCTCTTAGTTATGTCTCAAAGACACGCATTTGTGTTCTAAATATACATCTACCTATTATAAGGCTCTGACATATTCCAGACAAAGTTTTCCAATCCTGGCAATACACAAAACTCCAAATAGACGTATCATTAACAAAATAGTCAACAGCAAACTTAAAACAGTGCCTAGTCTTCAAATTTCATGAGGCAAACTAATAAAATATTGTTTTCAAAAGTTTCTGTTAAGGCATTAGGTGGGGACGGGGAGGGGGGGACTGTTACTGCCATTTGTTTGTTTGTTTGCATATTGATTTCAAACATAAGTATACTATAGAAGATGTGAACCATAGCCAGAAGCCAGGAGCACTTAATACAGCTCCTTCCTTACTTTGCACTTTTAAAATCCACATGGCTATTTCAGGTTAGGGCTCAAAACCAGATGAGCTACACCTGAGCAAGACCCCATTCCCCACCTTCCTATCTTGCCAAACACTTCAAACAAATATACATCTGCCCTCAACATTCCTGCTTTACAAAACTAAGTTCACTGACCTTTTGATAAAAGTGCTCCCCAGAAGCCCGTGACAATCATGATTTAAACTTATTAAGGGCTTTCTTGATGCCTGTCCCCAAGAGTCAGACTGGAATTGGTAGGCCAAGTTGTAGGTAAAATAATAGGGCAGGCCACAGAATCAGACAACTGTAAGGCTAAAATGGACCACAGATACCAATTACTCCAGATTCTACATTTTATGTAGAAACCTAGAGCCACGAAGTTAAAATTACTTACCCAAAGTTAGACAACCAATTTGTGGCAAAGACAGATTGAAAACCCCAGTTCTCAATCCCCAGTTGTATACTCTAGACTGGATTCCCAGTTTCTGAATTTCTTTTAAAAACATCAGACCAAACTCATTCATCTCCTTAAATTGTGTAGAAGAACCCAAATGCTCCAAAACAATCAGGATTTTGAACACGTAAGACAAACAAGTAAACAAAACAAAATGAACTAGTGTTTTCCAAGTCGATTTTCTACATGCTATTATTTTCACTTCAAAGCTTTTCAAAGTTATGCAACAGACAACTTAAAAACTAGCTAAGGACACAGAAAAGCCAAGAATCATTCCGATACTTTTGGGATATTTATATCAAACTCAAGACAACAAAGTACTATCCAGGATGAGCTGCCTTGAGGGAGGGATAGTAGTACTAAACAGTAAATAAAAACAACCTCTAGGGGCGCCTGGGTGGCTCAGTCGGTTGAGCGTCCGACTTCGGCTCAGGTCATGATCTCACAGCTCGTGAGTTCGAGCCCCGCGTCAGGCTCTGTGCTGACAGCTCGGAGCCCTGGAGCCTGCTTCAGATTCTGTGCCTGCCTCTCTCTCTCTCTGCCCCAACCCACTTACATTCTGTCTCTGTCTCTCTCAAAAATAAATAAACATTAAAAAAAATCAAAATAAAAACAACCTCTAGTTAATCAATAGGAAAGACAAAAATGTTACAATGCAGTGGAAAGTCTGCAAGTTGACACTGAAATGCCCAGTACATATGTGTGTGAGAAGAGAATATATGTTTATATACACATACTTAAGAATACACATACACACATACATACACGTATATATGTATACACACACACCCTCACAAATCTACCCCTTTAAAAGGATAACAGAAACATGTACATATTCTTATGGGATACATGCAAAGTACAGTAATTCGTGCTAGGTCTAGAATATCCAGACAGAATAGTTTTAGACACTGAAATACTAAATTATCATATACACATATTCTTGCAGTAACGGGGCCCTAACTCTAATTTTACATAAAAACCAATGTGCCAAAGAAGTAAGGATAGAAAAGGATAGAATGGGAAAATGGTGTAACTACAATATACTCGAACTCCAGCTCATCTTCAGATCCTCATCAACACAACCTTTGTTACAAACTATCTGATAAGTGGGATCAGCAGGTGGATGGAAAATCACCTAAAGTTTTTAATCTGCTGAGAATGAACTGGGTGGCCCTGCATCATCTCCTGCTTCTTTGCTTTAATTCTTTCAGTTACTTAGAATAACATCAAAAACCACTTATAAACATCATACAAAATATAAAGTGGCCCATACATAAATCCTCAAGAATTGGTTATAAGAGCTCCAAGATTCTTAGGGCTAAAAGGGCCATTAAGAGATTATTTAATCCAATTCACCCCTTTTACAGATGAAGAATCAGAGGTTAAAAAAAAAAAGTAACCTTATCTACCTCAAATCTCATAGCCACTTAGTGGCAGAATCAAGAACAAAACTCAAATTCTGGACTCCTAGTTCTGAGATCTTTCTGATAGGGACGGACTTGAAGTCTTGAAATGAACTGAACTATCCACAGAGATAACTTCTAAGTCTGGATCACTCCTGAGTAGTAAACACATATCCTCTTCAGAAGGATGAAGAAAGAAAAGCGTAATGTACTTGATCACTACAGGTGCAGATGCACGTGACTGGAGGATAACATCTTAAGGCTGTGTTTGACTCCAGGTGCTTCAAATTTGCCCTCTTGCATTCAGCCACATTACTAACGTCTTGTGTTCACGTGAGCTAAGTGATAAACATCTTGACATTTCAAGATTTTGGAAAGGCACAGCCGAGTCCTGAATATCACCAGGCTATAAATCCTTGGGCTCTGAGTTTTCAAAGCCAGCTTGGTTTTGATGCCGCCACAAGGCTCCCCCTAATAGAATCTCATCATTCAGTTTTAATTAACGAGGTGGTTACTAGGAATGCAGAGAGGGAAAGTTTTAGTGTGTTCATCACTTTTAACTTGCTGAGTAGCAACCCAGTCACTTTACAAAGAGAATCCGAAACAATAGTGCAATCTGACACAATCCACACCCCTTGGACTAAGTGATTGCCTTTGGGCGAGTGAGGTTCAGAAAGAGGTTAGAGATGAATGAGTCTGTTCCCACCCAATAAATATTTTTGGTTATTCTATTTTATTTTCTTATCCACTGCTAAGCTATTTCATGGTATCTTGGCTTCCAGCCTTGCCCCCCTCAAGAAACAGACATGAAACTCTGTTCACTTGATCCCATGGTGTGTTCCATCAGACTTCGGTTGACAGTTCCCCTGAAGTTACCACCTGAGAACTGGGTCTGCATAGCCCAACTCCACCTTAAACTCCCTGCAGGTGCCTGAGAAAGGTCCATAGACCGTCCTGAAAGGACACCTCTCTCCCGAGTGCCAGTCTGGAGAAACTTGTTACAAACGCACGCCGCAACAAAAAAGGGATGTGCGAGACTGACCCACGATGGATGGGGACTGAGGCCAGGACTGGAGCCTAGGGATGAATTTCAGCGCGAGCAAAGGCAAGAAACACCAGCCTCTAGGGTGGCCTGCGGTCCTTACCGTATACCCGGACCCAGCTCTGTTGCTGGCACACGGACTCCAGCAGGATCCGATCCAACATGCCTCCAGCCACGGCCCCGCCGACTGGGACAACCGCTTCCAGCTCCTCCGGAGGCAGCGGCGAGTCGGACTCCAGCCCGGGGAACATCTCCGGCCAGGACAGCGCCTCCGCGGCTCCTCCGGACGACGGGGAGAGCTCCATGGTGCCCCGGAGGGACAAGGCGGCGGCGGGGCGGGCGCGCGGCTCCGCGCCCTGCCTGCGGGAAGGGGAGGAAGAGAGCGCAGCGGCGGGGGGCAAGCACCCGAGCGGCAGCCGGCACCGACGCGGCTCACCTCCTTCCCCGCCGCCCACTGCCCGCGGCTCGGGCGCTGCAGCCCACCTGCAGCCAGCGGGCGGGACCCAGGCCGGGAGGCGGATCCAGCGTGGCCCCGGCCGGGGGTGGGTCCGGGCTCAGGTGTGGGTCCCTCCCGGGAGGGGACGTGGAAGGACCCGGGAGGGGCGGCTCGCCCGCCTGCCCCCGCGGAGCCGCCTCGCTCAGCCCTCGCCGGCGTCTCTCGCGGCCAGACCGCGCTAGGGCTGGGGATGCAGTGGGGCCGGGCAGGGCAGGGCTGGGGGCGTCGCCGCCAGGGGCCGCCCCCTCTGACCGGCTCCCGCCGCCGCCGCCGCCGCCGCCTCAGAGGCTCGGAGGGTCCGCTCCCTCGGGGAAGGGGGGCGGTGGCCCCGGGTTCTCGCCCGCCAGTCCTCGGCCCCCACCCCAGGAATGAGCCGGCCCGCCCCCTAACTCTCAGGCCACGGCTCGCGCCGCGGCTCCGGCTCCGGCTCCGCCACCGATCCCACAAGCCCGGCAGCCGCGGCGGTGGCGGCGGCAGGCGGCATCCCAGGGTGATAGGCCGGAGCAATCGAGGGCCGAGGGCCCGGCCGCGTGTGCAATCGAGTAACGAAGCGGAGGAGGAACTGCCACCGAAGGCAGGAAAAATCGGACACCGAGCTATTCATCCGGCCGGTCCCGCCTTCTTGCCAAAGACCCTCTCTGCGCCCGGCCGCCCGGCTGCGCGCGGTGCGGGTCCCGCCAGCTGCCGCGGAAAGTGGGGACGGCGCGGGGAGGCGGGGAAGAAG